AGGTTAGTCACAATGGCATTCATTTAAAGCAGAGAATTCTTTCTTTTTCCTGGATCAGAGCTGAACTGGTATTGAAAAGTCTATAGTCTAATGTCCAACAAAGAGAATGAAGGGATTCATGTTTGCACCCTTTATTTCTAAATCCAAAAGCATCCCTTATATCATTGACTAAAGCAGAATCATTCCAGCAAACTCCAGCAAGCTAAGTACCACATATGCAGGCTTTAAACAAAATACAGACTATATGAAACACTGTACTCAGCCCTTACAGCTCTCCAAATCCAACATGCATTCTTGCTCATCCATTGGATACTTGGAAAGGTCCATGTCACAGGCCACTGTTGAGGTAATCCTGTTCCAAGCAACATGAACACCAGTTAGTTGCATTCAGACAGAGCATTTTCCTCAGAACTCAAAAGAAGAAATGGAAAACTTTGAAATCTTCATATTAATACGGGAAATTATTTTCCAAATCCTTGTGGCTGTTGTCTTTACTAAGTCTGTGGGAAACCCAAAGATGGGGGGAATTGGAGAAATTTCAAATGACTTGTGTAATGTCAGAGGATGCTTCAGCTACTTGTGATGACAAAAAGGACTTTGCTGGGTCAAATCCACTCCCTTCCACTGTCCCCAAGACCACTACCAATACCTTAAGAGTGACTTTGGACTTAAAATTTTAAAGGTGCACACTCATTAGTTTTTAGAACATTACACAATTAAATACAGTTACTGAGCTCTAGCAAGAACACTATTCCAAAGTGAGGAAATACTGCTTTAGCTGTTTGAAAGATGAGGAAGTTAAGCCTAAATGAGGCTGATTGTTCCCTTGGAAAATAGTGAGAGTGGAGAACAGAATCTTTGCTCTGTATCCAGCATCTCCTTGCCTCCTGACCAAATAGTTACGAGATGCTTATCTGCCATTAAGGACATTCTGAAAGTGATCAGTGATTATGCAGCAGAAAATGTGTTAGTGCTGCCAAAGATCCTTTCCTGGCAGTGTAATCCTTGTAAAGCAAAGGGATCTCTGATAGGAGGCACCAGTACTTTCTCCCATTTTAAATTAATAATTATTTTAGGAAACCATCCTAGGAAAACTGAGCGATTACTTTATAGTCTGTTCAAAAAGTTAATGCCTGACAGAGTGCACTTGCACTCTTTCTCACTCACCTGATGCTGTATAAAATGACTCCGTCTGGCTGGAGCCTGATAAGTTTGTTTTCCACAGTCACATCATGGAACCAGGCAGACTTGGCATTTACTATGAAAGTATCTGGCAACCAGAGCTTGTCCACAAACCGGCTGTCTAAGCCCAGAGTTTCATTGGTGTGGTTGTAAGACAGACGGTCGTCTCGCCAGCTCTGGTGCAAAAATACCGTCATGGTATATTCCTATGACAAGAGAAATCTCAATTAAAAAGTGATGCTAAACAAATACAATGATAATGCCTTGGGACTTGGACAAAAACCATTGTATTAGCCTAAAAATGTATTAACTGTTTCCTGTGCAAATAAGTATTTTTATACTCAGTCAACCATAGAGCTGCCCAAGCATTTTAATTTCTGTCATATGCTTCTACCATGGATTATCCCAAGATATCAAAAAGTGATTCAGTGTCAGTGTTATATGTAACATGTTGCAGGAGTTGCAGATGTCTTCATGAAGAAAAACAGTTTATCTCATTAAATCATCCAAGTACAACTTTTGGTTTTTAAGGCTTTTTTCAAGCAAAACTAAAAAATCAGGTGAAGTTATGCATCTGTAATGGAGGGAAAGGATGGAGGGCAAATTATTTTTTTTTGTTTTAAAATGAAATCTGTTATGTTTCAGAAATACAATTAATTCATGCCTATGCTTGTTTATGTGATTTATAAGTTGTTATACTCCTGCTTTATTGAAAGGTCTTTACACAAAAAAGAGGAGCATCTCACAACCAATTGTTCCCTTAGCTTCTTTATGGAATTATCTGTGGAATTTGAACAGAAGTTTTCATGCTTAAAATCAGGGTTTCTGTTAGTAAGTGCTGGACAGATCCTACCTTGCAAACTGTAGTAGGAAATCTCAGTGACTTACACGTGACTAGATTCTTGTAATTGCCAATATCTGCCAGAAAAGAGTCTGTCTGTCTTAAAATACAATGTTTGTTCTTTGCAGCATCTTCTTGTAGTAATTGCCCCACTCTGAACAAGCTGGGGATCAACTAAGTCTCTACTGAGTTCATTTTCTACACTTCCTGTCATTGCAGTACAGACATTCACAACTTGGTAGGTTTAGCTGGTAACGTACCATGTTCACTTCTGAGATGTGATCAATGCTGGCGACTTCAATTGCAAGAGCAACATTAACAGGAGGACCTGAGAACAAATGTTTGAGTGGGGTGATTTAAATCATCATAGTAGCTATAAAAATATAGATGACCCAAGACTATTAATTCTTTCATACAGAGTGAATTCATAAAAGTGTTTTCCATTATAAAGTACACTTTCCAAGTAAAATCTCCCTTAGAGCAAAAGATTTACATCTTTTACACATTGCATCCTCAATTTCTAACAGAACACCTTGCTTCAGTGATAAAGGACATGAGATACAATCACAGCTACTGAAAATTATGGAATCCTTTCTGGAAACCACATAATCTAGTTTCAGACAGCATGACTTCAAGCAAATGCAGAAATTATCACCACTTACTGCAATCCAAAACTCCTTCAACTTAGAAATCAGTGACTTAAGAACTGTATCAGCAAGAAGACTGTGTTGCTAATTCTGTTGTACAGTCTCTTTTTTCAAGATCAGGCAAACTGATTGTTAGTATTTGCAGTATCCAAGTAATAGACAATCATGTAGAAGATGATTCACATAAACATCAGAGGGTAGAAGGACTGTAAGTAACAAAAGAGACATGACTCTCAAAGTCTCACCTCCAATCCCAGGCCTGAAATTACGTGCGTACCCTTTCATTAAATCATCCAGGTTGGGTAACCAGGATATTTCGATGTTGGAACCTATGTAATCTCCGATGTCATTCATAGCTCTAGGTAAAGAGAATAAGTATTTTTTAAAATTTGGTGATGTTTACAAACAGAAAAATAACAGAAAATGGAAGACAATGACTTTTTTACACCAGAGACTGCTTACAGTATAATCAGCTATATTGGTAATTTAGTAGAAAAATACTGTATATAGATAGGAAACCATTTCAAATATTTCTGTTTAAATCAAAACATATTTCAGGCAAGACTATGGCCTCTTTCTGAAATACAAGCACATAATTTTTAAGGTTTGTTTTCTTTAAAAAAAAAAGAGTAGGAAAAAAAGATTTAGAAATGTAAAGAAAGCATGAGGGAAAGCAGGATACTTTGTATCTGCACAAAATGCATCTGTGAGTGCTGAAATGCAGCTATCTGGGTAACAGGACACAGCAGCTGTGACAGCTCCTAGTACCACCAGGGAACAGCTGAGATCAGGGCTGGTATATTGTTAAATATGATGGGAAAACAGGAAAAATTACACAGCTGGAATCTGGCTTTAACACCTTCAATACTGTGAAAAGTACCGTTGGGCCTCAGAAATATGAAAAGCAATGCTAACAGGAGGTGTACAAACACCTGAAAACTGCAAAGACATGGACTAAAAGGAGATCTCGCTTAAAGAGAGAAGAGTTGAAAGCACAGAACCACTGAATGGGCGTCCTCACGGCCGCGACCTGGCACGGAGCTGCCCATGGACCGGACCCGAACCTCGGCAGGAGTGGGCTGCAGTGCTGGAACTCAGGAGGTGCTGTCCACAGCACCCAAAAGCCCCAGTAGTTCTCCCTCATGCTGAGCCAGAGAGATGGCTGCCTACAGTCCAGGTGACTCAGGAGCCTCCAGAAACCTCGAGAGGGGCCCATGGTTCTGCCATGTGAGGAGCTGCCCATAGCAGTGAGCCTGAAGCATTTGACCGTTGTCCTGGAACCTGAGGTGTGTGTGCTCCATGATCCTAGAAACGCAAGGGCAAGAGCCCTGACTATGGTCCTGGATTTGGGGCCATTCCTGCCTATGGTCTTGAGCAGTATATGAGGTATCCATAGCACTGAAATGTCTCTGTCCTGCTCCACCTTCCCACAGGTGCCCCAGAGTTTTGGGCATGTAGGGATGGCTCTGTGCTTGCCAGCATCAGGCAGCGTGGGTGTTTGGCCATCTGTCCTCAGGTCAGAAGTGTGGGATGCCATGATGCATGCATCCTTTTGTGGTCACTCTTGGAGCCACCAAACAGGCAGTAGGTTTTGTTTGGGAGGCTCTGTGTCGCTGTCAGGTTTGTGCAGCACGCCACAGTCCCCCCTCCAGAAATAAGGCTCCATCTCTCAGGTGCCAGGCAGATGCTTCTTTCTGAACCACTGATGCTCCTTGAAGACATGATCACAGTTTCTTGTTGCCACTTTCTACCACCTGGCAGACACCAGCCCCTTAACCCTTCTGATACAAGCAGTTATGTGGATATTCCATAATTTCTTACAAACAAAGGCAAGCTTATATTGTCTTCATTAACTGTTCAAACTGAGCTGGCAGACTTCATCTGAAGCAGATCTGTGCCTACTCACACAATTCCTCTTGCCAGCACTGTGATTGACATGACAGAAATAGATAAATGAAGGACTGTGACAACGTCTACCACAACTAGTTGCAAAGAGAAAATTTGCCAGTGGTTTGAGAGGGCCTGTATCTGAAGGCAAGTACTATCAAAAGTGTCTGAGCACTGTTTTAGCATCTTCCACTGAGTCCAGCAATATATGGCATTTGAGAGCTATATATCACTGGTGACAGAAGAGAAACTCATAAACATCGATGAAAGGCTGCAGAGTAATATACCATAAACATACTCTGCCTCGGTACTTACGTAACTTTGTTAGAGTGTTCATGTGACATTGACCCACATAAAGCATATTTTTTTCTCTCCAGAATATGCCAGTCTGGGCATTCAGCTCAGCACATGCACTTTCTGCTAGCACAGCAGCAGAGTATCCTACAATAACCAACTTTGCTTCTCACAGGAGACTCAAAGAAAAATCTTTGATTGCCCTGGTCATAAAATTCTTGCCCCACATGTATGCAGTCAATTATAGAAGGAAGGAGTTCTGGGATTACAATGTATAAATATAAGTTCTGAGCAGCAGAGACACTGAAAATTTGCATTAATGAAGTTGGCAAAGCTTAAGTGACCTTAAAGCACAGGGACACTGCTCCAAAGTGAAACTTTATTAGTTCACAGCAAAATGTTAAAATTGAGGATATATATTAAATTGGATTTATAATGTTTCCTTGCCATGAGCACACTGCTGTCTGTTCATCTCAAATGGTGCTCTCAGGTATTTCTCAGATTCCTATATCTCTCTGAGTAAGGATCCTGGAAGACTCAGAGATGTATTTTCACCTACATAAACTGGAATAACATAATTGATTTAGACAAGGGCTTTGAAGATTTATAACAGATGTTGATAGAGTTTTTTCTTCTTTATTGGGTCTCATCAACTATATAAACACTTCTTTCTATCATACTTTTGTTTCCTATGTGCTGGTCTTTCAATCATCCAACTGTCAGTATTTACTTAAATGTAATGATAGTTGAATAATACTTGGCTAGATCCATATGCTAAGGTCTGGCATTTTTATGCAATACCATCAAACATTGCAGTTCAGAAATTCTTTAATTATTTTCTGTTACATTTACTACCCTGTTTCTGGAAATATTAAGGTTATCAGTTAATACAGAAAACAAATATTTTTTTTAAACTAAAGCCTTGGCAGATTAGAGAATATGAGACTATGTTCCAAGTATTTTGTTTACAAAGGTACTTATTTGTCACTTGTAAGTCTCAGCCATAGATATGTAATGGTATTCCTGATCAGTAAAATGTCTGAGCTCCTGTTACAGGTAAAGAATGATACTTTAAGTCTTTTTGTCATTAGAGTGAATAACTAGAATACACTTGAATGAGTATGTCTGCCTAAAATCTCTTTGCCTTTTCAGTAGAAGATGGTGCTTTCCAACTTCTATTGCTAAAACTGCAGCCAAGTTCTGTAAAGTGTTTTGAAAACAATACTCAAGTCAAACGATGACTGCACTATAGTGACCTATCGTGCCTGCCTGACCTGTGAGGATGGGATAATCTAGCATATGCTTCCTACATACACAATAGTATGAAAGTGCTTGGTACAAGTCATTGTAAAATTAGAATACCATGTATATTTATGAGTACTCAACCTGAGAAAAATAACAAAAACAAATTCTGCTGCTCCCCTTTCACAATAGGTAATTGCTACTTGCGTGCATCAAAAACTCATCCCCAGATAACTGACTTATAATCAGGCACTTGCTTTAAAAGAAGTAATGTCACTCTAAGAACTGCCAGGAGCCTCATCTCTTTTGAAGGAGCATTTACAGTGTGCAGCAGTTATCCTGTGTCAGTATTCTGTTTTAATGGCATTAAGGAGAGCTATAGAGCTAAAAGGAAGTTAAAATGATGAGAGCTGGGTTAAAAACTGTGGGCTGTAGCTTGCCATGTGTTTGAAGCAGATTACAATCTAGATGGAGTTTTACTTAAATATCCATGACACAATTAAAGTGAATCTTGTTTCTATTATTAATAAAGCCTTAGGGTCAGATCATCAGTGTAACAAATGTGTTGCAGTTAGCGGAACTATATGCACTTAATACCAGTGGGGGTTATTAAAGTATTACAGCTGAAATAATTTTATGGCAGATTTACTTTGCTGATGTTTCTACTACTCGTTCATTTTACAATTTCTTTGAAATGGGCAACAAAAATTCCTCTTACTCGCTTACTGCCATTCTCACACACTAGCACAGTGCTCACAGAATAGCTTCTAGATACTCAAAGAGAATATGTGAGTGAGAATAACCTACAGTTTCATTTACAAACAGTTATCAGTGAGTTACCAAAAGACTTCTGTACATCAGATCCAGTGCTTTAAAGTTACATGAAGGATGGTGGGAGAATTTCATTCATCCTTGATAAGCAGTTGGGATTATATATGGCCTAAAACATTATTCATTTATTGTACCTGGAAAAGGGAGACCAGCATAGAAAAGACGCATTGGAAGGGATTAACTTTTCATAGTGTAAGCAGTAAAGATGAAAAGAAAGGACAGTACTATTAGTTGATTCAGCAACTTCACTTCCTGGTGTAAGCTGCTGTAAAGCTTGTCTTAGTAAGAAAAGGACTTTGTAAAATTCAAGGGGCATAACAGCTCATCAGAAAGCTTATCTTTACTTTGCAGCAGGCCAGAGTGGGGTGCCTGGCTGACTGAATGGTAACGTAGTCAGGTGTACTAACATCACTCTGGAAGTCACTCCCAAATGTAAAGCTGAGGAAGATGGATTTTCATCCACACTCTGACTCTGTACACATCTCATTTCAGGCAGGTATTTTGGAGAGTATGTTTGCATATGTCCATATCTGGGGTTTAAGCATTGTGAGAACTTCAACAGAGCTCGTTACTGCTGTTTAAAGTACGAGAAGAATACTTAGTTCTCTTGCACACTAGACGAAGGGGAGAGGAAATCACCATTGATAAACCTGGCAAAACTATGAAGTTCTTCCCTGCCTGACAAAACTGCCCCTGACACAAGTTAGGGAAAGCAACTCCAAGCAATGAATCTCAAATGACAGAGCAAGGAAACACATCTCTTTCAGAGCTAAGTACTATCAGTTCTAGAATAAAAAGTACCTATATCCCCAAATCCTTCCTATTTGAGCTGACATCTTTCTCCCAGCTGCTGCAGGACCACTGCATTCTACTAGCGTGGAGTGATCTGGAGGAGCATCAATCAACTTGGACAGCACATCTTTAAAGGGTTTGTCAGGCAAGTGAGGTGTTAGGTCTTCACTATCTTCCAGAGCACTGCTTGAAAATGGTTGCTAGAAATTTATCAATATTACTAGAAAAAATCTGTTAAGTATTTAAATTATACCAAGGAAAGAGGCAATCTGTGTGAGTAAGTGCACTACAGCAGCTGAGGAAGAGATAACATTAGCAATATTATTTTTGTACAGCAGTGACAAAAGCTCGGCAGCATCTTTAAGTCAGTGGCCAATGAGATACTGATTTTAGGTCACGCTTGTAGGAGAGTGTGCTAACCTTTTGACAAACATATAGCAGTAACATGTGGGATAATGCTTTTTGCATCTGCTGTTTCTTCTTTAAATCTTCTAACCTGATTCTTTTTTGGACTGTGACATAGTTGTTATAGGACTCTTTTAATCTGGTAGTTGGAGATACCATTTTGACTGATACTGAGGACTGGGATGGAGTACGTTTCATTTTCTTTGAGATAATCTTTTGGGGGAAATGTCCCAGATCTTATTGCCACTCAAGAAAACTTTTTCTTGGGAAAAATACAAGGAATATCCTGCAAGGTAAGTGAATGATCTGGCCTCTGTCAAAGTCCAGGATTATCCAGAGCAGTATGTGTATCCTTCCCATCTGCCATTCCTGACTAAGTGAAGCTCACTGTAAATATGTTTTGTATTTTGAAATGTAATTGAAAAAGCATTAGGCTTAATTCATGGCAACCTTTTGAACATAAAAGCCCTTATTTCCTCTCTGTGAGCTTTAAGCTACAGAAAATGGACCACTCTCTGCATATATTCACGTTAAAGCTGCTCTATTTCCACAAATAGAAGTAAAAGGCTCAGGGAGACACATAACAGAAAGACAATTCTATGCAAATGCAGAAAAGTCATTTAACATAGTAGAATCTTAAATAGAAAAGATACATCTATTTTTAATTAGAGAATTAAAATCTCTTTCAGTAAAGAATTACAAAGTATGGACATACATCCCAAAACTCCCAGCAATAGTAC